CTAATGTATTTCAATGAAGCAAGTAATTTCCTATTGTGTATATACTGTACATGTTTACTATTAGTGAACAGTGATATACTATACTGTATATATATTTCTACAGATCACTGAATGAAATGGCTGCCAGCGCTGTCCAGTATTGAAGTCCTCATTGGCACAGGCTGATTTACTAAGGATGTAACGCTTTTACAGCAGGTAAAAAAAGGTTTGGCAGTGCTGCAAAACTGTTCCCATTCGCTGAGCTGCCAAAGGTGAAAGAATAGTCTCCTAAATGTTCCAGTGTTGCACTAGTACACTATAAATTTATAGTAAATATCTTATCATGTAACTGTGGATCATCTGTGTTTTTTGGTTTATGCTGCTTAAATGCTTCCTTTGGTTGTATTTTTTCATTAATGGTGTTGCTATAAACTTCAACTTTTAGAACATCTCTCTCTTTGGTCAAATAAAAGAACACTCATGAGTATAGTTGTTTGTCATATGACTTTTCACTGTCATGTGACTGTTCTTTAAATTGATTAGCAACTCTATAAGGCTAATGTTCCAATTATCCAATAGAGGTAGATCATTTCATGCATAGCTAATGGAATCAACTTATGCAGGAGGCCACACATGATGTTTATGTTTATGAATTTATGTCCCCTTTGGGGATATTCATCACACTTAATAAAGATGCCTAAGTTTAGATCCTTCACATGATCACTGGCTCTCTCTTCCTTTCTATGCAATCAAGTCAAATTTTTATTGATATAAGGATGAGGTAGAAAAATGGACATAACTTCAACACAAAATTAACACTTCACTACATCCTTCTGAAATTACACTTCTTCATCACTCATCTTTGCCACATCCTACTTTAACTCTTGGCTCACACTTGTGCGGGCCATGAGTCCCATGTTTTTCAAATGGGCACTGTACCTACGTTTTCCCTGCATGCGCCTTTTTAAAAATGTGAGTGCAAGGAAATTAGATTTTTTTTAACCATGTGATTTCCCTGCGGTTCCCACACCTGCAAATGTGCTGTGGGCTCAGATGCGTAGGGTTGCCATTCAGAATGAATTGCAGCTCCACGTGTCTCATAGATCAATGCAATTTGGCTGCGAGTGGCTGTGGGTGCGGGAACAGATGCGATTCCACAGTCAGCCCGCACAGTGTAAACCAGGGTAAATAATTGGTGATGCATATGGTTAATGTAGCCAGGCTGTGTGTCCATGTACAGTGGCGATCCAAACAATCCCAAGCCATAAAAGACATCTTTAGACTTAATAAAATAGCAGAAATGGAATACTTGATACACATATAACAAGGCAGACTCAAAAAATTCACAGCTTCTGTATCATGCTGGGTGTACTACAGAATAGCACCATGGGTGGAAGGAAAGAATATTGCTAGATTCCCCATCAACACAGTCAATTTTGATGGAGGAATCTCTCCCGCACCACTATTGTGTTCTGCCAGAGGGCAGAGAGCCTTCCCTGCCGGCAGAACACAATGGTCACTGTTGGAGGCTATAGCTGCTGGCAGTGATCGCATGAAAAAAACCTGACAGACAGGTTGTACTGAATTAGACCAATGAACAACCAGCCTACCCATAGATGGATAAAATCTCAGCCATTCCCTACTGAACCGGCTGAGATTTGATCCATCTATGATCAGCTTAACTCTAATGTAGCACTTCAGAGTTTCCCATGCTCAATGGGGAATCCTTGGATGTGTCATTGATTTTGAAAAAAATGGCAGAGATTCTGAGATTTTGGGTTGGATTTATAGTTGATCCAAAAGCTGAAAAAAATATGAACAGGTAGGTTCTTTATGCAGAAGAGACAAGGAATGTTTCTTCTACAATAAAATACACCTGCCTGTTTTTAATCCTCTGCAAAATGTACCCCAGAGCTGCTTTCATATCTCTGGCACAGGGCCAGTGCATGCATGGAAGTGATGTCATCCCACGCCAGCCAAACAAAATGGGGAGAAGATTCTGGTGCTTGCAAGGGACCTCATAGCACTGGACAATTAGAAAGTAGGTGAGTATCCCTGACTTAGTTCAGCTTTAAGATGCAATTCCACTACTTAAACTCGGCACATAGGACTGTCTATTGTTGGGATACTGCTGCATGGTCCGAAGTAGTGGTATAATCTATCAAATTTATGGAGGTCCCTTTGAGAAAGAAAAACGTAACCTATTCTGGAACATTTTGCATGTAGATGAAGAATAATAAGTATAATAATTACAGTAAGTATACTAATTGGAAAGTTTAAGTTCAGGATACTGTTACTTAAATGTTCAGGTCAACATAATCATTAAAAATTTGATAGTGCTTTTTTTGTCAATGTGATTATTTAAACATTGTGCAATACATTCCTTATTTGCCAAGTTAACTCTACAACTATGTAAATGGCTCTGTTTAATAAATAGACATTAAAACAAAATTTTCATTGATGCTCTAGAAAGTCACATTCTCTCAATTTGACATGAATTGTTGCCATTAAGATTTTATGTGACATACATTTGCCAAAACATTTTAGGCTAAGCGTTCTGCTATAATATTATGAATTAATTTAGTAGTCAATGCAATATAACTATTGCTAATTAATTCATTTGGTATTAATAGCACGTTTATATAAATTATATGGCATATTCCATTATATAGCTTTAAAACTCTGATATTATGATCATAGACATACAACCATTGTAATAGCCAAGAAATTAGATAGTCAACTTAAATCAGTAGTATTTTAATAAAACAGTTCAAATTTGCCTGTCTACATGTAGTAAATTTTGCTAGAAATAAATTCACTTACTGCCATATACCATAGAATATTGTATCTCAGTTTCCTTTATTGTTAATTCAAGATACTGGTACTCAAAAGTGAAAAGAAGATAGCCAGAAAATGAACTCAACAAATTAAATATTGAGCTATAGTTACCTATACCTTCAACAAACTGCAAAAGAGCTTTCTTTTGGTGGTATTTGATCACCTGTGCGCTTTTTATTTTTCACGCTTTAAACAAAAAAGCCAAAAATTTTGAAGAAAAACAATATATTTTACTTTCAGCTATAAAAAATATATAGTAAACTCAAAGTTGGTTATAAATTTAGACCAAAATGTATTCTGCTACATGTTTTTGGTAAAAAAATCCCAATAAGTGTATATTGATTGCTTTGTGTGAAAGTTATAGCGTCTACAAACTATGGTATAGATACTGCAATTTACGCCATTTTTTTGCTATACAGCGCTGCGCTATTTTAACGGACAATTGCGCGGTCATGCAATACGGTACATACATTAAATTTACATCCTTTTTTCCCCACAAATTGAGCTTTCTTTCGGTGGTATTTGATCGCCTGTGCGGTTTTTATTTTTTGCGCTATAAAAAAAAGGCTGACAATTTTGAGGAAAAAAAACAATATGCTACTGCAGCTGTGCTCTCTGTCAGCTATTGCCGCCGATCGCCGGGACATAGCCGGTAACGATCGGCTGTGACCCGGCAACTGACATTCGCGGCTGTGATCGGCGAGACAGGTAGGGCGGCGGCGCGCCTCGTGCACGCCCTCTACCTGTTTACAAAACACACGTTTTAAAATGTGGGTTTTGCCTGCCCGTGCCACCCTGCTGCCGTATTTCTACAGTGGCTGGGCGGCATGTGGTTAAAGACTATACGTGTTGACATACAGCTGACTGTTTTTTGTGTCTTTTGGACAAAGTGACCTTTTATTATTATTATTATTGTTATTATTATACAGGATTTATATAGCGCCAACAGTTTGCTCAGCGCTTTACAATATAACGGGAGACAATACCGCAACAATACAGTTCAATACAAGAGGGTTAGGAGGGCCCTGCTCCTTGGAGCTTACAAACTAAATCTAGTAAAACTGTTTAAAGTGCATGCCATTTGGTTTGTGACTGTTGACCTGTTTAAATTCGGGCTTAGTGCCAATAACGTAATAATGCAAGGATAGACACTACACTCATTTGGGGCATTTTCAGTGCATAAATGACTTCAAATTTGATTTCTATTTTTAAAAATGACTGTTAGAGATCCTATTCAAATTGGAAAATAACTCAGTTGTGGGAATGTACTCACTACAATATTTTAGCTGTTTGCCTGAGAATAAATAAAAGTTTAATGTTGATTTCCACATTGAATTGGGGCCCGATTTTAAATAAATCAATCCTAAGAATGTAGCTATTAAAAAAATGGAGGTGTTTTATTTCTGATAATAAATGAAACCTTAATAATTTCCACATTTAACAGTTGCTGTTGGTGGTCCTATTAAACTGAAGTCTGATACCAAAACTGTAATGCTTTGAGCATAGGTACAATTTTTGGGTGCTTTTATGGAAATTTGCTTTCTAGTTTTTAACATGTCTGTTAGAGGTCCCATTGCAATTGGGGCTAGAGCCCAAATAATCAACCCTGGAAATGTACTCATTACAATATTTGGGGTGGCATTTAGGAAGTAAATTAAACTGCAATATTCATTTCTACTTTTTAAAATGCTGTTAGAGTCCTGTTTGAATTGGTACCTAGTGCCAATAACTTATTACTGTGAGTTGAGATAAGTCTGTGGCATTTTTTTGTGAATAATGACACGCAAAATTTTACAAGATGCCTGTTGGGAGTCCTATTAAAATTGGTGCTTGGTCACCAATAAATCAAATCTAGGAACTTGCTCACTATGTAGGTGTTTTTCCTGGGAATAAGTGAAACTGCAATGTTAATGTCTATGTTTAAAAATGACTGTTGGGAGTTCTGTTTAACCACTAGCCTACAGGGCACTTATACCCCCTTCCTGCCCAGGCTAATTTTTCAGCTTTCAGCACTGTCACACTTTGAATGACAATTGCGAGGTCATGCAACACTGTACCCATATAAAATTTTTATAATTTTTTTTAGACAGATAGAGCTTTCTTTTGGTGGTATTTAATCGCCTCTGGATTTTATATTTTTTTTGCTAAAAAACCCCCCAAAAAAACACTGAAAATTTTGAAAAATAGGCTGCACTGATAGGTGGCACTGATGGACACTGACGAGGAGGCACTGGTAGATGGCACTGATGGGCATTGTGACAGGCATCACTGATGGGCACTGAAAGGCAGCACTCATATATGGCACTGATAGGCGGCACTGATAGGCAGCACTGACAGCACTGATAGGTGACACTGATGCACACTGATAGGTGGTACTGACTGGCACTGATAGGTGGAACTGACTGGCACTGATAGGTGGCACTGAATGGCAGCACTGATAGGTGGCACTGACTGGCATTGATAGGCGGCACTGACTGACACTGATAGGTGACACTAAAAGGCATCTCAGATGGGCACTGATGTGTGGCATTGATGTGCACTGGTAGGCACTGATATGTGGCATTATGTGGTACTGATGGGCACTGGCAGATGGCACGGATGAGCACTGACAGCTGGCACTGATGGACACTGACAGGTGGCACTGCTGGGGCTACACTGATCATCAGGGCAGTACCCTGATGATCAGTGCACATGTCCCTTCTGAGGAATGGCGATTACTGGCTCTCCGCTCCTCTCAAGCTGTCAGCGTGACAGCTCGTGAGGAGAGAAATGCTGATAACCGGCATTTCCCTATTTACATGCGATCAGCTGTGATTGGACACAGCTGATCACATGACCGAGCCGACATCTTCGGCTCTTTCTGTTGATCGGTGATCCGATCACCGTGCTGCGTGCCCCGGAGCTGTGCATGCGCGGTTAGAATGGGAGGACATCATATGACGTCCTCCCAGAATAAAAGAACCGCCTTGCGCCCGTCATTACCTTATATGGTGGGCGGGAGGCAGTTAAATTGGGTTCGCTAGCCAATAATTTTATACTGTGAGGTGCTACAGTCTTTTGGTGTGGTTTGTATGCTAGGGTCCCCTAGCCCATAATTTAATACTGTGAGTGCTACAGTCTTTGGTGTGCTTTATATGATATTCCAAAATCGATTTCTAGATTTAAAATGCTTATTGGGGGTCCCCTTCAATTTCGAAAATGTACTCACTATAATATGTGGGCTCGTACATATTTTAGGGAATGTTCCTGGAAACATATTTCACTGTAATGTTGTGTTTTTTAATGAAACTAAATTCTGGTAGGAGTTCAGTTTAAAATGGAAAGTAGTACAAGAGAGTAAATACTGTACAAGCTTGGGGGCCTTTATCTGTGAAACAACTAAACTCTATTGATTTTTTTTTTCAAATGGCTTGTGTGGGTCCAGTTCAAAATGGGGCATGGCCAACATGTTTACAGGCTGTGCACATACTTTCTAAAATATTGTGGATACCTTTTTTCAGCAAAATTATTACACAGCCCCCAACTAAAAGTCTTTAAATATTGTGTATGGAGTCAGTACAATATTTTTTTTTTCTACTGAGAAATAAAATTTATGAATAGAATGACAGGGTTTACCAGACCTCTATGTCCCTTCACTTGCCTACTGCAATACGTTGCAAAATTAAATGGAAAAAGACAGAGGGAACTGATTAGATGGGAAATCTATTTACTACTGGGAAAGAAAAAAGCCATACTGACTAGATCAAAACCATCCAAACTCACCCATTATAAGATGGAAAGATATGGGGTAAAGTTTCAATGGTGTGCGATACCAATGGAGTAAAAGCTTTGTGTTGACCCCCATTGTAGAGGTACCTAGAGAATTTCTCCTGAGAAATTAAGGATGTGTTCTCATTTCTTCATTGATGAGTGCTTCTGTTGGGAAGTTATAGACTTCAATAGTTAGTAGAAGTCCCCTTAGTGGAGATTTGTGGGCGTTCGTAGAAGTGTATCATTTCTGAGTGAGGTACAGTCCGACCATGAATGAAAACTTTGTTCCAGGCTTGTCTTATCCGCAGGTATTTATAAAAATCTTGGTTGGGGCTATTATATATTTCTTATGCTAAATTTGGAAAGAGTGCAACTCCTAAATTTCAAAAAGATCCCTAAAGGAAACGATACCGGCTGATTTCCAAGCTGTTAAGGACAAGACTTGGCAGATAAGATTGCAATGCTGAAATAGGGAGTGATGACAGGACATTCTTTGAGAGGCCATTTGCTTGTAGCAAAGTAGTTCTCCAAACTTTAATGGTTGCATTGATGGGACAATGAGATAGCTTTGTAGTAGGCTTTTATATCTGGTGCTCATGATGATAGAGTGTTTCACTCTCCTGCGTTTGCCATCCCGTATGAAAGTGTTTAGGGTAAGTATAAAGTGTGGGCTAAGTGAGAGGCCAAAAAAAATCATGTAGTTGGTAGAGTTCGGAAAGAGGGATAAGATATCGGGCATGAAATACATTTTAGAGAATTGCTATTTTTCCGTGCCCACTAGGTTTTAACAGAACTTAAAGTAGAGCAGAGGTCTCGTAATTTCTTAAGCAGGATCATACAAAAAGGGTGTTATTGAAAGGAACTGACAGTCGTATTCCTAGGTAAGTGAAGGAGGAAGCTCAGGCCCAAGGGAAGGGGGACAAGCCTGATAAATTTAACTTAGTGGTTCGTGTGATCAATGAAAATACTGAGTATACAGGATTTGATGCAGTAAAAATGGTTTTAAAAGCTCAAAGATTTTACCTTCATCATTGTATGCATGAAGATTAAAAACCTTCTCTATGCAGCCACAGCGCGCCCCCTAATACTCACCTAAGCCTCCTCTCAATCAGGCGACGTGCAGCCCAGTCTCGGCTATCCCGGGACTCCCCCTGATCTGAGACAGATCACAGCCAGTGAGCCATGAAAAGAAAGAGGGGTGGGGCCAAGCCACGGCTCCATGTGTAAATGGACACACAGAGCAGTGGGGAGTGCCCCCCATAGCAAGATGCTTGCTGTGGCGGCACCCCGCTCGGAGGGAGGGGCCAGGAGAGCCTGCAGGGGACTTGATAAGAGGAGGATCCGGGCCATTGCACATAGCAGGTAAGTATTTTTCTTTAAAAAAAATAGGTCTTTAGAATCACTTTAATCTTATATAGGGAAATTTGACCTAAATGTCATTAACATATGTAATAATATATAATATGTAAAGTGCCAGGAGGAATTGAGTTGGATTGGTCATAGCTTCTACAATGACATCATCTGTGTAAAGTCAAATTTTGTGTGTACTGTGATCTTTGGGTGATTGCGTATTGCTTCTGCAAAAGATTCTATTACCATTGCAAATATTAGCGGGGAGAGGGGGAAACCTTGTCTCGTGCCATTGGTTATGTTGAAAGGGCTTGATGTTATCTCTGAGGTCAATACTGTGGCAAAAGAGCAAGACTAGAGAGTGAGGACAGCTGTATAAATAGATCCTGCAAAGCCAAATTTCTGGAGAACGGCTTTGAGATAGGACCAGTGCACACCTGTCAAACACCATCTCTGCGTCTAAATTCAGAAACAGAGAAGGCGTCCCATTATGCTCAACCCAATGTATGAGGTAATGAACCTTCTGGTGCCATCAGATGCTTGTCAGTGTGGGGTAAGGGTCAGAGTGAATTATTGATGGGATATACGCAGATTTATGGGGAGGCTAGAATTTTTGCATAAAATTTCGATGGACATGTTTAAAAGTGATATGGGGTGATAAGTAGCAGGATTGTCATGTGGCTTACCAGGTTTTGGTATGGTGACAATATTTGCCTTGAGGGATTCTTTGGGAATGTCATCTATGGCCATAATGTGACTGAAGGATTTACATAAATGTGGGGAGAGGACAGTAGTGAAAATTTTAAAGTATTCATTACAATAACCATCAGGTCCAGGTGCTTTGTGTAGAGGGAGTGAGCTTCTTCACAGTGAGAGCTGTGAAAGTGTGGGAATAGACTCCCTCAAGAGTTGGTTCTGGCCAGCTCAGTGGATTGCTTTAAAAAAGGCCTGGATTCTTTCTACACAGAATATAACTGGATACTAACATTTATAGGTAAAGTTGATGCAGGGAATATCCGATTGCCTCTGGGGGGAATATTTTCCCCTGCAGGAGCAAATTGGATCATGCTTTGCTTGGTTTTTTTTGCTTTCCTCTGGTTCAACTGTGGATGTAGGATTATAACTTTTTTTTTTTATGGTTGAACTGGAAGGACTTTTGTCTTTTTTCAGCCAGACTAACTATGTAACTATCTATTGCTTTTGAGGTTTTAGTGTCCGAGAAGGGTGAGTTAATTTCTACCAATTGTGCATTGGTAAGAGTGGAAATCCTGGAGCAGAGTTAGGAAATGAGCAATCTGTGCAGGGTCAGGGGTAGGTTCCATTGTAGAGGCGTTTAAATTGAATGACTCCTTTTCTGATACTCGGGGGGGGGGGGAGAAGATACCTATTTATATGCCAGGAAGAATGTTGTTTTATTTCTGACCTGAGTGATAGTGAAATGGTGACTGGAGCGTGGTCTGACCACATGATTAGGCCAATATTGGCATGGAAAATGGACTGCAAGGTAGATTTGTGCATCAGGAAAAGATCTATCATAGAGTAGGACTTCTGAGCTGTGGAATAGAAGGTGTAATTCCTGTCTTATCCATGCAAACACTGCCAATGGTCATACAAGTCCTCTATCTGCATTAGTGATGAAAGGGCAGTGGGCCTCAGTCTATGTATGTTTGTGGTGTCCAGTGTCCAGAATAAGTGGAAAGTTTTTTACTAGCTTGTAGAATCTACTCTGATGGGTGTTTGGCCAGTAAATGTTAGCTATGACCAAAAGGGAGTTTTTGAATATGGCATCAAAAATAAGGTACGTACCTACCAGAGCAGTCAGATTCCACATGTTGGAGCTGAAAGGAGAGAGAGTTTCGTATAGCTATCATTACTCCCTTAGTTTTGTTAGTGGCATTTGCAAAGAAGGTGTGTGAGAAGAGTCAAAGGAAACATGGAGGGGCTTTGCCTTGCTTTGCGTTTCTTGTATGATTAAAATGTCAGATTTTTTCATTAAGGATTCTTTCCATAGACGTGATCTTTTAAAGTTTGTTAATATGTAGTGCCATCAGGAGCTAACCTTGGCAGTGGTAGCAGAAAGGGATCACTACAAATTAAATACTACCCTTGTGGGAAAGGATATTAGAGTACAGAGCAATACCCAGAAGTAAGATGGTGCAATATAAACAGGTACAAATAACAACTTAATGAACAGGACAAGTAATCAATTTCTATGTAATGGAGTGTACTTAGCACAGTTCGTGCCAGGGGTGTGTACTCAAAAAGTAACAAGGAAAAGGGCTAGAGATGAGAACACTGCACTCCACTTCTTGCGTGACATAGTAGTGAGATAAAGCATGAAAAAAAGGAGAAAACCAGCAGGCCTGCCATGAGGGAGGAAACTTGCAGGTTGGGCTTAGAAATTGTAGGATTTTGCAATACGAGTTTCTCCAGGGTGCTGTAGGTCTAGAAGATGGCTCCTTCCATGGGAGATTTGGTGGGGGGCAATGGTGTTAGGTCTAAGTTATGCAGCTGTTTGAAGCCATCCTTAGGAGGAGAGAT